CCAAAGCTTCACTGATTCAATGACTCAGTTTTCTATATATTTGAGAAATGAGGTCTTTGTCAGAGAAAGCTGCTATAACAATTTTTTCACAGTTATGAATACTTTTTATTTCCCTCCATCCTACTTTTTCCCCATTTATCCTACTCTCTCTGTCTCTCTCCTTTCACTCTATCCATCCTCAAAAGTGTTTTGCTTCTGATTTTCCCCTCTCCCAATCTGCTCTCCCTTCTATCAATCCCCTCCTCTCCTTTTCTCTTATTCCTTTCCCTTCCTACTTTCCTGTAGGGTAGGATAGATTTGTTTACACAACTGAGTGTGTATGTTATTCCCTTTTTAAACCAATTCTGAAGAGGGTAAGGTTCACATGCTTCCCCCTCCTTCCCCCATCTTTCTCTCCACTGTAAAAGGTCTTTCATGCCTCTTCTTTGTCAGATAACTTACCCCATTCTACCTTTCTCTTTCCCCTTCTCCCAGTGCATCTCTCTCTCACCCTTTAATTTTATTTTTTTTAGATAATCATCCCATCATATTCAACTTGCACCCATGCCCTCTATCTATGTATACTCCTTTTAACTCCCTAATAATGAGAAAGTTTTTAGGAGTTACAAATATAATTTTCCTATGCAGTAATGTAAACAGTTTAACCTTATTGAATCTTTTATGATTTCTCTTTCCTGTTTACCTTTTTACGCTTCTTCTGAGTTTTGTATTGAAATTCAAAATTTCTATTTAGCTGTGGTTGGTCTTCTCATCAGAGATGCTTGAAATTCCTCTGTTTCATTGAATATCCATTTTTTTCCCCGAAGGATTATACTCAGTTTTGCTGGGTAGGTGATTTTTGGTTGTAATCCTGGCTCTTTAACCCTCTGGAATATCATATTCCCAGTGTTCTGTTCTCTTATTGTAGAAACTGTCAGATCTTGTGTTATACTGACTAACTCCATGATATTTGAATTGTTTCTGGCTCCTTGCCAGAAAGCAGGTCTTTTCTCCTTGATCTGGGAGCTCTGGAATTTGCCTGTAATCCTCCTGGGAGTTTGAATTTTGGGATCTCTTTCAGGAGGTGATCAGTGGATTTTTTCAATTTCTGTTTTATCCTCTGGTTCTAGACTATCAGGGCAGTTTCCTTTGATAATTTCTTGAAAGATGATGTTTAGTTCTTTTTTTATATTATGGCTTTCAGGTAGTTTAATAATTTTTAAATTATCTCTCCTGGATCTATTTTCCAGGTCAGTTATTTTTCCAATAAGATATTTCACATTTTCTATTTTTTCATTCTTTTGATTTTGTTTTATTGTTTCTTGATGTTTCATAAAGTCATTAACTTCCACTTGCCCAATTCTAATTCTTTTTTTTTTTTTTTTTTTTTTAGTGAGGCAATTGGGGTTAAGTGACTTGCTCAGAGTCACACAGCTAGGAAGTATTATGTGTCTGAGACAAGATTTGAACTCAGGTTCTTCTGATTCCAGGGCCGGACCTCTATCTACTGTGCCACCTAGCTGCCCCCAGTTCTAATTTTCAAGGAATTATTTTTTTTCTGTAAGCTTTGGTACCTCATTTTCCATTTGACCAATTCTATTTTTCAAGTTCTTTTCTTCAGTGAATTTTTGTACCTCTTTTTCCATTTGGGCAATTCTGCTTTTTAAAGCATTCTTCTCTTCCTTGGATTTTTGTGCTTCTTTTACCATTTGGCCTATTCTGTTTTTTAAGGGATTATTTTCTTCAGTATGTTTTGTGCCTCCCTTACAAGCTGTTGATTATTTTTTCATGATTTTCTTGCATCACTCTGATTTCACTTCCCAATTTTTCCTGTATGTCTCTTTTTAAAATCCTTTTGAGCTCTTCCATGGCCCAAGATCAATTCATATTTTTCTTTGAGGCTTTGGATATAGTAGTTTTGTCTTTGTTGCCTTCTTCTGACTTTATGTTTTGATCTTCCCTGTCATCATAGTGACTTTCTATAGTCAAGATCTTTTTCTGTTTGCTCAGTTTCCCATCTTATTTCTTGACTTTTGTTTCTATGCTAAATGTGGCTCTGCTTCCAGGGTGGAGGAGGCACTATCCCAAGCTTCAGGTCTTTTGCGTAGCTGTTTTCAGAGATTAATTCTGAGGACATGTAAGTTTTTGGTTCTTCAAGTTGGTATGATGTAGGAAGAGGTGTGTTTACTACTCTCTTGGTCTGTGCACTGGTCTGTGAGTGACCACAAGTGCTCTTTTCTGCCCTGCAACTGTGACCAGAGTCCTTGCTCCCCTGTGGCTCACAAGTTCTGGTATGCTACAGGACTGCATCCGATTATGGGCAATGCAACAGAGTGCTGCCCCCAGTGACAGCAAAGGGACCTCTGTAGTCTTTTAACCAGTTGTCTGACATTCTTGTCATCTGTGGGCTGAGAGCTCGGGAAGACATCACTGCTGCTACTGATTCAGTCACCCCCATGGGCTATTGCTAGTTTACTGGGGCCTGGTCTGTGCTGGTAAGGCCTGCTCTGGACTGCATTCCACTCTCACTCCAGTGCAATAGATCTTTCCTGCCAACCTTCTAAGTTGTCTTGGGCTATCATTTTGTGGGTTCGGCTACTCCAGAATTTAATTTGAAGTGTTATTTAAAGTGGTTTAGAGGGGAAATTTGGGAGAGCTCAGGTAAGTTCCTGCCTTTTCTCCACCATCTATGGAAGATGATTTCAAAGGAACCTTCCAGATCTAAATCTTGTGGCCCTTTAAGGTTGTCTTAATGGCAATTCATATTTTTTTTAAAGCTTAACCACCAGAGGGCAGTAAAATTTCAAAGCAATTTATTACTATGAGGCCTGGCACATGCCTTTGTCAAATCTAGAAATGATCAAGTTTTACATTTTAGGATTCTCACATCTAATTATCTAGCTTAACCCGTGTTGTGACCCTTCAATCACATCTCTACATGTCTTTTGGACAACTTGAACTGGATATCCCTTAGACATCTTAAATTCAATGTGTCCAAAACTAAATTTATTATCTTTCCTCCTAATGGGGGTAGGGAACCTGAGACCTCAAGGCGACATGTGGCCTTCTAGGTCCTTGAGTACAGCATTTTGACTGAGTCCAAATGTTACAGAACAAATCCTTTTATTAAGGGGATTTGTTCTGTGAAGTTTGGATTTAGTCAAACTGCCACACTTGAGGACCTAGAAGGCCACGTGTGTCCTCAAGGCTGCAGGTTCCCCAATTTTGCATTTTCCTAACTTCCCTTTTACTATTGAAAGGGCCGTCATCCTCCCAGTGACCCAGGCTTGCAACTCAGGTGTCATCCTTGATCGCTTACTGTCTCTCATCTCCCATATTCAATCAGTTGGCCAAGTCCTGTCGATAATACCTTTGTATCATTTTGTATATAGGCCCCTTCTCTCCTTCTATACTTGCCACCATCCTAGCCCTCATCACATCATGCCTGGACGGTTGCAGTAGCTTGCTAGTTGGTTTTCTCCCCCCAAGTCCCTGCCCACTCCAGTCTATCCTCCACGCAGTTATCAAAATAATCTTCTTAAAGGGCAAGTCTGATCACGGTCACTTATGGACATTCCCCTGCCCTCCCCCCCCACTCCCATTCAATTGTTGTACAGTATTTCCAACGCCAAATATAAATTCCTCTGTGATTTGCAAAACTCTACATACCCTGGCCCCTTCCTCCTTTTCTAACCTTTTTTACATCTTAGTTACCTCGAGTTACTGCATGATCCAATGACGTTGGCATCCGTGCTCTTACTCATGCGTGACAAACCATCGTCCAATATGTGCCTTTTTCACGGGCTGTCCCCTATCCCTGGAGTTCTCTCCTTTCTCACTGCCCTGGCTTCCTACAAGGCTCAGATAAAACCCCGCTTTCTGCAAGAAGATATTCTAGACCTTCTTTAATGCTATCCTGTTTTTCATCTGAGATTACCGCCACTCTATCTTGCATATATCTTGTTCATACATAGTTGTTTTCATGTTGTCTCCCACAAAAGACTGTGAGCTACTTGATTATTTTTGGTTTTTGCCTTCCTTCATATCTCCAGTGTTTAGCACAGTTTCTGGCATATAGTAGGTACTTAAATACTTGTTGATGACTTATTATTACTATAGCTTAATAGTAACACTTATTTTTTTCCTTTTTTTGAGTTTCGGTGAGGCAGTTGGGGTTAAGTGACTTGCCCAGGGTCACACAGCTGGTAAGTGTCAAGTGTTTGGTCTGAGACTAGATTTGAACTAAGGTTCTCCAGACTCCAAGGCCAGGGATCTATCCACTGTGCTACCCAGCTGCCCTTATTCTATTGGGGTAAACAAGTACTTTCCTTACCACAGATCTGTGAGGGTGACAATGCAAGTATTTAATCTCCATTCCACAGATAAGGAAACTGACACTTTTTGCTCCATAGTTTAAGAATGATATAAATGTGGTCCTTTCCCTCGTCCCCAATCCACCTCTCTCCCCCGCCCCCCACCCCCAATTCCTTTCAATCGCTTTCCAAGGAACTGCGTTCTGGTTTTGAGATGAAGTCCAAATGATTAAAATTTCAAAACTTTTCTCTTTATCCCTGCCCATCACATCTCCTTGATGTCTCGCCATGCCTGTGGTCCCTTGGAAGCAGGTTCTAGGCCGAGGGGATAGGGCGCCCGCAAAGACTCAGGCAGATGCCTGTGCGGGGACGGCTGGCAGCCAGACTCCAAACCCTGAGGATGCTGAGATGCTTCTTCCCGACCAAGAGAGAGCTGGAAGCAGGAACCGGTGGGGAAGGACCGGGGCTGGGGCTGCAGGGGTCTAGAGGTGGTCTGCTGGGCCTCCAACCCCATTCAATGACAGACTGCAAAAGGAGGGCGCAACTCTCAGCTACCGCGAGCGGTCCGAGACGGTCCCTCCCAGCGCCCAACCCATCTATCTATCCGTGGCTGGGCGGGGCGAAGAGGGGCGGACCTGGCTCAGTCCTCTCCTTCCCCTAGCCCGCCTCCCGCACTCCGGCCAGCCCCCGGAGCTGCCGTCACTTCCCCCAGCTGGTCCTGCTGCTGCTGCTCCTGCTCCTCGGCTTCCTCGGCTTCCCGGGGCCGCTGCCATCCGCAGGTGATCGAGCCCCTGGGGAGCTGGCCCCTCTCCGCCTGCATCCCCGACCCTCTCCTCCTCCAGGTGAAGGATGGAGCCTCTGAATTCCGAGCGCGTCTTAAGACTCCGCTTTCCTACCTGCTTCCTTGTATCTGCCCCCACTCCTTCATTTCCTGTTTATTGCCTTCCTTTCTTTCCCTCCGCTCCCTTTCTTCTGGGTTCATTGTGGTCCTAGGTACTAAGTGAAGTCTCTCCTGGGTCTGCCACTTGTCCCTAGCGTCATTGTTTAGTTCCTACCCTAGACTGATTGCATGTGGCCTGAGCTCGGCAGGCAGTGGGAGTTAAGTTCAGTATAATTCTGGAAAGGTCTTCGAGATGCGCCTTTAACGTTAGATGCTTCTTCCTTAATTTTGCATCCTTGTCTAAATTAGGTGACACTGTGAAAGGGCGGGGCTCCCAAGGAAATGCCTTTGGGGAGTGGGCAGGTATTTGGGCTTTAGAATTCTTAAGATCCTCGATTTGGAGGTGGGAAGGCCCTTCAAAGTCTTTAGTCCAACCCCCTGATTTTAGAGTTAGAGGAAACTGAGACCCGGAGACATTCTGTGACTTGCTCAGAAACACACAGATTTTAAGTGGCAGAATGAGAATTTGAAGTCAGGTCCTCCAATTCCAAATCTATCTCTTTCCACTACCTATGGTACCTTGGGTCTCGGAAAAGGTTGATTTTACTGCTGCACATCTAGATTTTCCATGAGAAAATCCTCAATGAACTCTTTCAGAAGTGATTTTGTTATTTTAGTTCATCTGGAAATATACTGATCATAAAATTCAGAGCTCTAAGGGATCTTAACGCAGTGTCTAGAGCGCCCGCCCTGGAGTCAGGAAGACCTGAGTTCAAATGTGGTCTCAGAGGCTTACTAGCTGTGTGACCCTGGGCAAGTCACTCAATCCTGTTTGCCTCAGTTTCCTCATCTGTAGAATGAGCTAGACAAGGAAATGGCAAACCGCTCCAGTATCTTTGCCAAGAAAACCTCAAATGGGATCTCAATGAGTCGGAAAGGACTGAAATGATTCAACAACAGTCATTATGAATGTCATTTATGTACTTTAGTAATTCATAAGTCCATAGATTAAGCACTGGAAAGGATTTTAGAGACCATTGAGTACAATACTTTCATTTTACAGAATGAGGAAACTGAGCTTGAGAGAAGTTAAGTGAATTATTCAGGATCATACAGCTAGTCAGTGTCCAAGGTAGGATTTGAACCCATCTTCCTGATTCTAAGTCCAGTGCCCCATCTACTATGCCACATTCCAGAATTACTGCATGAACCATGTTGAGACAATGATGAAGGATTATTCCCCAGGGGCATTTACTGGGGCCTATGTATACTACATGGCCCCAGAATGCTTTTTCAGCTTTTTGAATTCTCAAGCATGTTTTTTATAATTTTTCTGTCTCTTCCTTCCCAGCCAGCTGTCATTATTTGCTGCTCACATTGAACTTGCTTATAGGCAATCTTTCTATCTCCTTTTAATTTTTGGTGAGTTTGGAAACCAGATATCTGTTAGAATTCTGAGTAAAATAATAGTAAATAAGCTTTCATTTCATTTATATGAACTCTCCTGTTGACATTGCCTTAATATGTGTGCTCTTTGAAAGGGGGAAAAGCTATTTTTTTCCGTATATAGGCCTATATAATACTGAACAAATTTATAAAACATTACTATTTTAAAGTACATTTACTGTGAAAATTCTTTTGGACATTTATTTAAAATAATATTTTTTTATCATCATTTCATTTTTCACTTTTGTCACTTTTGCCAACCTCTTTTTAAGAACATTGTTATTATCAGTGACATTAGGGTTTTATATGGGCCAGATTTGTAATTGAGAAACAAGGAGTAAGGGTAGCACAGCTTATATTTGGACTAATAAGTTTATGTATATATACATAGATATGTATGTGTATATATAATATATAAATTAATATATCATAAATTAGCTTATTATAGTATATATAATATTTACATATATACATTCACACATATATACATCTATACATTTTATTTATATATATAAATATATGTAAATAAATATATACAAATATATGTGTTATTTATATGTGTGTGTGTGTGTGTGTGTGTGTGTGTGTGTGTGTGTGTGTGTGT